GCTGATTAAAGAATGGTCCTCACCAAGCCAACCCCAAACCCAAAGCCCTCGACAGAAAGACGGCGAGCCTGAATCGCAAAACCTCAACCCGTGCCTGCCTTGAGCAAGTGGCGAGTCGAAACCCCGAAGGCGTGAACCGTAAAGCTCATGTGAAGCATAGGCGAAGCCCGAAGTGTGAAGGGTTCAGGGTTGAAGCGAGCCAAGTAGGGCCATTACAGGGCCTCTTCTGTGGTGTTGCATGTTGTTTTATGAGCAGGGTTTACGGAGTAAGCAGTCTCAAATAAACAAGAGAGCAGAAGGCTAAGGATCTAATGTCCATCCTGTAAGGCTCAGTGTGAGGGTGTGCGGTTGGACCCTAAACACTGGCTGGGAGCAGCTGGGTGCACGAGGATCCCGTGAGGGCCAAATGACGCGTGAGGGAAGGCAAGCCCTCTCCCCTCGTATTTCCGCTAAGCCTTAAACTTCCTTGAGCCTACATTCCTTAACCTCCCTGTATGCCCTAAATCCCAGCCTGAACAATTCTGATCAGGCTTCATTTGGCCTGCTGTGGGGTAGGAATTCATTCGCAGATCCTCGCGTAGCCTGCACTGTTTCCTCTGCAGAGCGGGAGAAGAAAGCTGGAACGCTGACGGCTCATGGTTTTCAGGTGTGTCGGGTTGAGAGTTTCGAGTTCAGAAGATACGGTTTGGAACTACTGTCAGAGTCGGGCATGATAATGGCTTGAATTAGCTGCAAATTGGAAGGCCGACATCAACGCCCTATCTCTACCTAAAGTAAGCTCTTTGAGGCAGGGAGCGGCGTGGCGGGGCAGGGTTTTTCGAACGAGGATCCGGTTGTTTTCGGTGCGATGTTCTCATCCGGCACAACTGAAGGTGTCTCAGCACGCTCCGTAGCCGAATGCCAGTGGATTCACAAAGCTCAGAACTTTGGTGTTTAGGGTTTTCATGGAATGTCTCTAGCTCCAGGACTGACCGAGACTTCGGGTTCTTGTCAGGCTATAGCCAGCACACTGAACCTGTGCGACGCCTTCAACCTTGTTTTAGGTTCTTCATCCCAGGCCTGAGGGGCCAAGTCAAGCGTCGGAACGCTGAAGTCCTGTTTGACTTGCCAGAGCCCTCCATCCCCAACGGATTGAAGCGGGGTGACTGTCAGGAGGTTGTGAACATCGCAGAACAACCGAATCAAGAGCTCCACGGAATCTACAACGATTATGACTTTTACCCAGCGAAATTCTCGCCCCTCTATTTCAGCATTAGCCTGGCTCCCCAGGCTTCTTCTTTCCGCAAAGAAGCTCCTACGCCCGGGAGAGGAGCTCTTCAACAGAGCCACTTTGGCAGGAAAGGGATTGGAGACGTGCTGCTACCAAGTTTCGGGTTCTCGGGCTCGCCCGAATCTGCATCATCACGTTTAGCTCTCCACTGTCCCAAACCCTTAGCCTTAGCCTGGTGCTTTGGCCATGGGTGTCGTGGAGAGATAGAGCCGTCGGGTGCGGCCCTGATTTCATCAGACCCCTGCAAGATTCCCCGAGATGGATCCCTGAAAGAAGTCGCTATCTTCAGGCCAAATAGGATTTAGGATGCCCTTTAGCGGGTTCCCTGTTTCCGTTGGTCGCTAAAGGGTCTGGCTTAAAGAATTTATGACTTGTGAGAGATTAGAGGGTCAGGGGTGTCAGGGGCTGTTGCCTTGGGATGAGGGCTTTCGAACCGTCTGCAAGCTTCTCAGGTCAGAAAAACTACGATAGCCAGACTCCACACAAACATTTCGAGATCCACCTGGGCTTGACACGACTGGTTGCAGGCAGTGCCCAGAGTCGGCATAGCATCAATTGAGAACTTGATAGGGCACTTCGGGAAGGAGGTCATGATTCTGGTGACCATCATGCCGACGCTGTTTAGCACCCCTGACATTTGGTGATAGCAACCCAGCGACGGTTTGTAAGGTTGCATAGGGGGGCATTCAAGCGGTCCAAAGGGCGACCCACGCGAAGATCCGCCCTTCTTTCCTCTAGGTTTACGATCGGTCGAGCGCTTCCCTTCTCGCCACCTTCGGAGCAGCTTGGCTGGGCTCAGCCGCAGCGGAGAAGCCATCCCTGACCCTTGGAGATATTCCAACTGTTGTCAGATGCAACAAAGCCCAAGCAAGACCCAGCATGCGAAGCCTTCTGGCATTCTATCGGATTGACCTCGGCCTGGAGCTTCGAACTTAAAGCACTTTCCGGCGTGGTAGGTCGGTCTGGCTGAGGGTTTTCACCGTGTCTGCAGTGTATAGGAACCCCAAGGTACCGTTTTGTGGAGGCCCGGTGGTCTTCAATGCTGGGTAGTTGATCATCAACAGAGGGTTGTTGGAAGATCTGTTTTACACAGAGAAATGGTACGGCAGCTTTGGATTTTGGGATTTCTGAGAAGCCCCGAGCAAGGATCTAGAAGTTAGGCTGCCAGAACCAAGCTTCGTTGTTTAGCAGCAAGCGCTTTCGAGTGACAGCTTGGGGTTCGGGCTTCTCGGGTTTGGGATCTCGGGCGAGTGGCGTCGCTTCGCAGGTTTGCGGGTCCTCCCGTAAGAGCTTCCAGGTTTGGGGTTTCGAGCTCTTAACACCGCATGGAGATTTGAAATGTAATAATGTGCACACATAGTGCATAGTACAGTAACATGGCATAGTATGCTTCCCTTACATATGGAAGGTTGTGTCATATTCCGCATAAGAAACCGTAGATAGTGCATAACCCATATCGAGCTCTATAAGACTTACATGGTTCAAGCCGTTTTGCTTTGTCTTGAGTTCCTGATAAAAAACCCTATGAAGACCTCGGAAGCCACAGTTCATCAACAAAAGTCTATCTAGCTGAAGTATTTATTGTGTAGACTATTCATCAGGCTTCCTTCCTTGGCTTATACCGTGAGACGTGTCCCGAAGCCCTAAAATCATGAAGGCCCGTGCTTATTTGTATCAGGGTCTAAGATCCACTGAGGTCGTTCCCGGCTCAGAGCAGCCGGGCGTGCCCAGCGACTCTGACCTTGCAGCCGCTTGCAGGAAAGGCTTTTTTTTTTTTTTTTTTGGG